TCAAATTTTATATCTCTTGTGTGGATCCTAATAACGGCTATATTATTCAGTCTCATTCTAATAGATAAATATATATGGACCGTCAGTAATAATAATTTCTACTTCCAACGGTTCATATTGTTTTTGGGTTGAGCCTTTGGACTTGAGTGTTGAAAACAATTTCATTCATCGACCAATGCCTATGAAATTCAATTCAACGTTTACATCATAATCCGAGATTCAATGTGTATCAAAACCAAACACCCATGATGGATGTTTCATTAACTTATGAATCCCATGTAATTTCAAAGTTGTCATCTCCAATCAATTTCAATTTGGCATGAAGATTTTTTATTTTTTTTTCAAAATTCAATGGGTTCATGTTTATTTATTTATTTTTGACTTGTTTCCAATACTTGGTATTCTACGCAATAAATATACATTCTTCAGAGTGTAAATATTTGAGCAACAAGGAGGTTTGTTCCATATTCTTTTTGTGATCGGGATAGGAACACAGTTGCGGATTAAGAGGTTTTTTCTTGGAGCCATATTAAGTGTCGACATGAAGGAGGATTGATTTGACTTTAGGACATCATTGTTAAGAAGAGAGCAATCAATTCGAAAAATGAAAATTAAACACTTAAGAATATGCAAGATTTATAGAAGTTCATGACAATGTGATATTATATTCTCTCCCTTCATTGCAATAATTCACTATAATAATTAAAAAAAAAAAAGGATTTATAAGAGAAAATGGCACACCTATTTTCTCTAACTTCTCTCTCTTTTAAGATTATGATAAAAAAAAAAAAGACCTAAGGCTGGCTCCCTATTTGTAAGATAAATTAGAACAAAATCAAATTTTACAAGGACTCCAAATCCTTAATAAAATTTTACAAGAACACAAATTTCTGCAATAATTAGGTTCCACAACTCAACAAGCATCTCAAGTTGTACTTTAACTCTTTTGGCTTGTTTACTTTGATTGTTTTATGAATTATGTTATTAATATTTTTATTCAATGTACATACTATGCATAAATCACTAATTCTCCGATATCTCTATCACTAAATATAATCGAGAATCTTATTAGCCACTGACATCACATAAATTAATGAACATTTTTAGAGTCCATTATTATATTATTGTATATTCACAACGAGTAGTTCGCCAATCGAGTTGCATTAATGTATTCTTGTGGACCATGAGCAGGAAAACCAGGAATTATGAATCCCACCAGTCGAAACATTTGGAGTAGTAAACGTTCCTTATACTCTGATCCAAATATACGAGGAAGAATAAAACTTCTTACTAGCTCCCAAAAGGCATCGATCCTCCTCGTAACAACGTCAATGTAGTTCTTATATGATTCTTCTTCAACATTCTGTATCATACAAACTAAACTAATTAGCCAGCTTGATTTTTTGTCCCATGATAGAATATAAAGATGGTGATATCAAAGAGGTCAAACTCATGTCGGACCAGGCACATAAGCAGCCCGTTTGGACCTCTTTGGCCTTGGACCGGCGAAATTGACATTACTATATATAGAGAACGATATTCACCTTTCTTTCATAGATGCAATTGATATAGATACATGTACCGAAGTGCTTAAACATTAGCACGGAATCATCATAAGGCATCTGAGGCACAATGTCGTGACTATAAACAAACCTATAGTACTTAACTCCATAGTATTGCAACAGCTTATCCATAAACTTTCCAAATTTTTTGTCTCCAACCTTAGGCTGTCCAAATGTATATACACCTTCTAGTCGTTTTAGTACACCGGCCTCCTTGTGCAATTCTAAAACGGCTGGAAACAGAATCGCAAGCGCTCCACCTAAGCTGTGACCAGTGATAATGAATCTTGTCCGAATGTTATTCTCTAAATGATTTTTCAGGTCTTTGGTTATGGCATTATAAGCCCCGTCATCCCGGGGCCAACTTCCGTCTAACTTTAGGCCTAGAGCTTTCATAAAACCACCGTGGACTCTGCCGTTAATGGCATCAAATTTGTACCATGATATGTCGATGTCCGTAGTCCAGTCATCTGCATTAAAGGGATCAGTACCTCGAAAAGCCACAATTATCGTCTCAGGATTAGTGTTTTTATCATGGAACATGAAGCCTTGTGTAGTATTTGCCTGATGTCTCTCTGCAAAACAAAAGTTTAAGCATTATTAGCAGAACACACCAGACTTCAATACTACAATCAATAATTTTAACGAAGAAGGGTGCGTGAATCTTGTATTTTTGCTTCTTACCATCCCAACAATCATAAAATCCCAGAAAATCCATCTGCACATAAAGTCGCCAAAAGTTTATTCTAAGTAACAAGGCTAAAATTAAATAAATATATGCGCCTTTCCTGTAACTTTTTTATGTTTTTAGATTAGGTATTTATCATATACTACCTTCCATATTTTTTTAACCACAACTTGGATGAATTCTTCGTTCTCGTAGGCTATTTTCGAGGCCATGGCTGTAAGAGCTGCAAAATACTTACTGTCCCCAGGTTTAATTTTCTTGTCCAACTCCACCCTGTTGTCTAGAAACCCAATAGTGGATAAAAAATTGAAGGATTGCTGGTTTGGTAACTCCATCTTCCCTGTTTACACAGTACACACGGCATAACTGTTGAACATTAAATTTAAATAAATAAACGTGTCCCTTCTACTTAAGCTTTAAACAAGATGGTCGAACATTTAAAATGCAGACTAACCTCGCAAAAGAGCAGATAAGAACATTCTAAAGTTATTTTTATTTCCCAAAAGGTTCAGCCACATCTCAAACGTTGAACCGAACAAATACAATGTCTTTTTATTGTATTGAAGAATCTTCTGTGACAACATAGAGAGAAAAATAACTCCCCTTTCCTTGAGAATTTCTTGTTTCACTTCGAGTGTTTCCACAAAATCTTTGCTCTCTATGTCTTTGGTAAATAGAATATGAAATATGTCTATAAGGCTTGCATCGTGTGTTTTCAGTACAAGATATTTTTTGCTCGTAAGAACATTAGAAGCCATGTTTGGATTGAGCAAGAATAATTGATATATTTTATGTAAAATGTTTAGCATATATCCAGTATATATTTATAGATCTACATAAAGGAATCTATTTTCCTAGCCAAACAAGAAATCCTTTGTGCAAAACTTATCAGCTATTGTTTGCAATGACAAAGTAAGGGCTCAACTTGTCGGATTTGTGCAAAATTAACATGTTGGAAAAGCAATGACTGCAGTAATAATTTCATGTTTACCACTAACAAATAATCTAAAAGTACTATGGCATGTTTGGTGCGGTAGATTGGATGAATAGGGTTAAACAAGAAAATGAGAATTGCACACAGAACATGCGCTAATTACAGAATAACATGTTTTCAAAGTTGCAAGTTTTAACTTCTTCCATGCTTATGATTAGAATGAATATACCTCCTGCCGCTTAATATAATAGCTATAAGAAGAAAATATAAATATTGGAAACTTGGATTATAGAATATTACTTATAAGCTTAACAAGAAATCCAAAGTACATAACAGTTGTAAAAGGGGAAAGTTATTGAATGGAATTTTCCATGCGCAAGTTGCTGTTTGGTTTTCGCACTGCATAAAACACGGTGGGAGCATGATATCCTCTACAGGAGATCCCAACTATTAAGGGCCTGTTTGTTTTTTAGAGCTTGTTTGGGAGGGATTAAAATCGGATTAAAATTAAAAAACTAGCCGTTATTGTTGACTTTTATTAGATGGGTAGGACCCAATAACGACTATATTTTCAATTTTAATTGGATTAAAATCCCTCCCAAACAAGCTCTTATTCTCAAATTTTACACTAAATCAATTCTCATTTTCAATCACACATTATTCAATAAAATAATATTTTCCATCACATCAATAATTTTTTCTTTTTTTTCAACCACACATTTCCCATCAGATCACTATTCAAAAATCAATTCTTCCCCCAAAAATCCCTACCAAACAAGCACTAAATAATACTCCATAGTCTTCTTTAATATCGTCTAGTGCTTGCATTCAAGGTTCTAAAGTGTGTAATGTGTGTCAATGTGTTTCGGTCGAGCATCAAGCATTAAAAAAATATGCGTGTCTGTGCGAAGCATACGAGTAATTATGCGTTTTTCAATTTTTAATATTATCCAAAATAAATAAATAAATAAAATAATGCATTTTTTAAACTTTATTCATATTCTTCAAATTTTCCTAAAAAAAAATAAAAATGCTCAAAATCATAAATAATATAATTACTTGAACTTTATACATATATCTTCAATTTTTTAACAAAAACATAATGCTAAAAATTGTAAATACTATAATTACTTGATAATCAATTCTTACAATTAAATTAGAAATGAATATCGGCTTTAAAAAAATCCTAAATGTTGTCTAACTCTAACTCTAACGAATTCCAATTCAAACTCCTTTTCATCTAAGTCATCTTTTGTGGCATCCGATAAATAAATCACCTTCTTCAATATCTTATCTCAACTCGAGAATTTTTATTATCTTTTGTAGGTGATAGAATATCATTATTAACCCTCTCATCATTACAAACATGCTACATGTACATTTCATTTGACATCAAGTTTGACATTGTGACACGTGTTGTGGCATGAGTGTACAGTTTTAAAATAAAATACACTTTCCCGTCCATTTGCATTTGAACAAATTAATGTACAAGAAACTTTATTTTCATTATCACAACCATCACCAATCTAAAATTGTTCATTACTAGCATAACTTGCTAGTAAAACAAGAGAAAGATTGAAAGAGCCTCAGGTTTGACATAGACAATTTGCAACTCTACAAAAAATTTATTTTAATTTTTTCTTTTTTGAAACGTCAAACCCTACCGATTATTGTATATAATTACTGAGCTTGAGTGATTTTGGTTAATTTGATATTTGTTGGGCACAATTTGCTTTTTCTTTTTAAGTTATAAAAATGAGCTGAGTTAATAAGGCTAATTTTAACACAATTTTTATCACAAATGCATGCTCATTAGGCGATCATACGCGGTCAACAAAATGAGTTGACCGCATTATCACACGCATCAGGCCCGGACTTGAGGAGAGGCCTCTGCCTCATGCCCAACTATTTTAGGGACCCTTTTATATGCATATATATAATAACCTAAGCCTTCATTCTTCAATTCATTGGAAGCTGCACAACCGTCCCCTGCACTCAAAATCACCACTCTAAGGTAATTTTTTTCACTCTAAATTCTCAAGTTAAACTATGTGGGTTTTCTAAATTTTTCACCTAATATGTATGCTAGACACTTTCTTGATTATATACAGATAGATGGTAGATTTACGTTCTTTGTCTGTGAGGGTTTATGGTATTAGTAATTGTCTCAAATTCTTGTCAAGATTAAGCCTTTTTTTGTTTACGATTACGAATTGAAACTTCGATTCAAACTTGGCGACTATGGAGGATGAGCACGGAGATGTGGGTCCCGTGACTAGTGTTTTAGAGCCCACCGAGAGTTTTTACTGTGCCAAATGAAAGAATGATCGAAAATTTGGAATGTGAGAATCAAATTGATGGGTCTTATAGTGAGGGAGGTGGAGCCGTGGAGAGGAGATAATGGTTGAAGTTGTGGGGTCTCATGTTTTTGTGATAATGAAAGATATCTCATGTCATGTTTTTAATTTTATTTTCCTTATCAATTCTTCTTTGGTAACATTTGTTCAGATAAATGCTCTTGAAAAGGCAAAAAGTATGAGTTCAATTAATTATCCCAACCAAAATCTGCACCAATACAGGAATATAACAACCCATAAAAGAAATGTCGTGTCTTCTATAACTTGCAACCATTTACATGTTCACATCAAAGTCAATAGTCAGATAGAATGACATTTATAGGCTCTTTGGATTTGAATGAATAATCGAAATTGAAACCCATGACTTTTAGTTTCTGAAAGCAAGTGCTAAATTACTGAAAGAAAATGAATAATTGTTTTCCAAATGCTTGCATTGCTTACAATATTTTGCTCACTATACCAGTTACAGTTGCTTCAGCAGAAAGAAGCTTCTCCAAGTTGAAATTGATCAAGACTTATCTTTATTCAACTATGTCGCAGGAAAGATTGAATGGATTGGCCATGTTATCCATTGAAA